CCCATGCTATAGTATCCCAACTACAAAACTAACCAAACGATATCAAGAAGACACAATAAGTCTTCAAACATCCACGAAACAAATAGTTAACGCGTGACGTGGACAACAGTTAAAACTTATTTGTTTTACAAACTATTAGTAAACATAAAAAAAAAAAAAAAAAAATACACACAAGTTCAGAATTCAAATATATGAAAAATCACAATTCCGAATTAGAATGAAGCCGATTTAATGTCCACTTTTATCAATTATTATTACGAACGAATAAAAATGATTATGTTTTTGTAATATTGTATAATACATTGGTTTTCTCATTTAAATTGTTTATACATATAATTTTGTCGGAGCCTTTTATAGCTGGCTAAAAGGTATGGATTTTGTTCATTGTTGAAGGCCGTACGACGACATATAGTTGCTTACATCTACGTCATTTTGGTCTCGGGTGGATAGTTATCTCATTGGCAATCAGACCGCATGTACTTAATAATATATTTAATACTACATTTAATGTGCGTATATATGTCTTTTGTATTCCAAATTAAACGATTTAAAAAAGAGTATTTCAATATATATAATGTCTGTTTATTTTGATCGTTACTCTTCCTGCATTCACGAATAGAATCACATAACTGAACCATGTTCAACATGAAATAAACCATGACACGAATGAACCAAACCATGACACCGAATATTCTGTAATCTCAAATTGTGTGCACTAGGGGCTGTTTTTCGGGAAAATTGACGGCAGTTTTATATCATAACAAAATATGTGATGTAGCAGACAGTAAGCAAACCACTTTTCTTTGTGCATTAGAAACGAATCACAACTTTTAAATTTTGACATACGCAAGCATATTCTGTGTCAAATTGATAACTATATGATACAAATTTTGATGTGATAACATATTAGCTATAAACAAAGATACTTACCAGCTTGAATTTGTTGTCATTAGTTCCTTTAACAAACTATTCGAATGTTTATATTTTGAAACTGTTTGTCAACAAAAACACTTAACACAACCATGTTCATCTTAACCAAACTATGACAAAATCACTGTACTAAACGCTTTTCGATATGACGAGGTTACTACCCGTGATACCAATCATTACCAAAACCAAATAAAGGCAATAGTAGTCTACCGCTATTCAATAGTCATAAATCGATTTAACTGAAACAAATCTGGGTCACAAACCAAAACTAAGGGTATCCCATTAACTATAAGAGGAAAAAACAACAATAGAACATAGTTAAAGCAATTATGGAGACCCCACACATTAAAAAAAACAAACCATGTAAGATTCATACATCAAATCAATTGAGGTTATAACAGTTAACGGAGTAGTAATGTTAACTGCTAAACAAGCACTACAACTGGTGATTATAACCAAATCCCCTAATAACTGGTACAATCAACCTAGAAGGAAAATAAAGCTGATATGTCCATTCCATCGTCCTCCAGATAAAACAAACAAACAAAATGATGATGATGATGATGGATGGCTACTTAACGTCCAGCGGCAAATTGATATGCATATTCAGGACGAGAACATGTTAATGTAATATGAATATTAACTTGCTTTGTACAAGACTAACACACTGAGCCGTCTTTTTAAAGTGCTTATTCACAAGGTAACAGTCCGCAGGAAGACATGTCACCTTATCCGGACACATTCTTCTAAGTCCGAGCCGCCCTGTCTTTGATCTTAATCCCTAATGCCGCGTGTTTAGCGGAGAAGCAGCAAATACCAATTTTAGTCTTTGGTTTGACCGCACCGGTGTTCGAACCCACGACCTCGGAACAAAAAGAAGAACTGTAGATTGCCTAAAATGTGAAGAAAGCACCTTGTATTTTTTGCTTACCACTTACCCCTCCTTTAAAAACCACGGAGAAGAGAGTACCACAAAATTAACTTAATCATTTTCCTCCTACAGAGCAGAGAGAAAAAACACAGTATCATAAAACCAAAGCAATTAACTCACACATTATTAAGACGTTTAGACGTTAAATAAATCAGAATTAAAAAGCACACAAGAAGGCCAGTAAAACTAAAACGATAAAAGGAAAAAAGAGAAAATGATATTTGTAAAAGACTAACACAAAACGTATTAACGAAAATACAATAAAGAAGTCGGCTTTGATTTTTTGACAATTCGGGTCATACATCAAGGACAAAGCAAATATACAAGAATAGCACCTTTCAAAACCAAAATTGGATGGCTCTACAGACACAACAAGAGCAAAGCCGCCATTCAGTCAGTTCCAAAGAAAACTGTAATATTTTTTTTTCCAAAAAAGGAAAAGTCCATATCGCACAATCGATGATATCAAAATCAACATATAAGAAGTTAATAAACTGTTAAAAATAACTTAAACTTCGTACAGCCAATTGTCACGATTCAATACCAACTTTTCTTTACTTTAATTATCAGCAGACTTACTAGCTCAATTTCATTTTGTTGTTCCAAACATCACTGAAAACGGGCGAAGTCCTACAAAATTGGAAAGAAGCACATGTAGTTCTGCTTTCAAAACAAAGACAAAAGGTACTTAACCGTTCAATGGCAGGCAGGCTTTCTTACCTCAGTCACAATGTAAGGTCTTGGGACAAATTGTACATAGCAACACAAAGGCAAGATTTGACAAAAATGAACTTTTTACTAATGCGCAACACGGATTACTTTAAAGATGTAGCGAAATTAAACTTATCATAAACATTTACGACACCGCACAAAAATCTATTAACATTATATCCTCATTTGAGATTTTGAAGAAAATGCTCCCAGGGCGCAGCTTGATACGACCGCAAAGCTCGAACTCTGAACATTTCGGGGAAGTATGGATACAGCATGCAAGCTTGATACAGCTCAGAACTTGGATTGTGATTGAATATTTGACACACTATAGGTTTCTGACACACAATGGATGTGATCTTAGAACTTAAAATTTTTTAATTGGACATTTACCTATAATGGTCCGATATTCTTAATTTGATTCAGCATATCAAAGAACCACACAAATTCAATTTTTGATAAAATTAAACAAAGATTAATTTTGGACCCGTTTGACCTCTATGTGGACCACAAAGATTAATTTTGGACCCGTTCGACCTCTATGTGGACCAAATGGATAAAGAAGCCCAAACTCCAGAAACCTAATTCACGGTTAGATTCAACATAGCAAAGCATCCAAGATATTAAATTTTGTCTAAATTAAACAAAGTTTAAGTTTGGACCCTGATTTGGGCCAACTTAAAAACTGGGTTCAAAATCAAAAATCTAAATACATGTGAAGAATCAGCATATCAAAGAACCCTTATTTTTATTTTTTTGTTAAAACAAACTTTAGTTTAATGTTAGACCCTTTGGATCTTAATGTGAACAAATTTGAAAACCGGGTACAAAAATCAAAAATTTAAGTACACGATAAGATTAATCAAATTACAGAACCTTAAGATTTCAATTTTTTGATGAATTCAAACAAAGTTTAATTTTGAACCCTTTGGACCTCAATGTGGACCAATTAAGAACGGGAATCAAAATTCGAAATCTAAACATACAGTTAGATTCAGCATATTAAAGAACCCCAAAAATTAAACCCCATTGAAATTCGCCAAGAAAAAAAGCATATAAATACAGTATTAGAAAAGTATTATTTATTACCCTTTTCCCTACACTCAAGTTATTGTCTGGAAATTAAATGTCTTCGGACGACGACAACGTCATACCATTATACAACCGCAAAACATTATGCAGTCGTATCAAAATCAAGCAAAAAAAAGATGATTAAAGTGCGTGAAATATTGTGATAATGGTAAACCTTTTGAAGGAATCGGAATGATTCTTTTGCCTTTGCAAAGATACGCATTACTTTCTGAATTGTCAATTGCTCTATGTATGAATGAGAATAAGTTAATAACATATGAACTTGTTTGAGTACATATTTTTAAATCTCGATTGACATTCCTGGAGTAAGACAACTTACCTCAAAAAGGGAAATATAAGATAATTCGAAGTTCTGTCTTACAATAACCCGCAGATTGATCATTCTTAAAAGTTAGTAAACAGTTTCTCGGCAATCATGGGTAAGTGCATAGAGCTGGACATGTTTTGTCAACATCAGATATACTAGGTAGTCTCAATAGGAATCATTCATCTTATTTTTGTACTCATACCGGACATACACGATTGAACGTGATAAAACGAACTTTAACTTAATAGAAATACTTGTTTTGATGCTCTCCATCTTTAACGACGACGACGACGACGACGACGACGACGACAACGTCATACCATTATATAAAAACCGTTTGACAAAGTGCAACATCACCTGGTACTGCACAAGTTACATAAATCCGGCTTCAATCCTGAAACCAACAGATGAATTCGCTCCTTCCTACAAAAAAGATAGCAAAGAGTTATTCTTGAAGTAGCTGTATCGACGCAAGGGCAAATACTCTCTGATGTACACCAAGGCACAATATCTGGGCCGACTGTTACTGGCCAACATCAACAACATGCCAGAGACAGTTTCTTCATTAGAGAAATCAAAAAGTAAGCCGTTGATATCTTTCTCCTTTATTTGTAACTATTACCGACCAAGTGAACAGTGAACCTTAGAAAACATCACTGGAAGACTGATTGCAAATGAGTTTCACACCACAAATGCATTGTAAAAAGAATTATCCTTGATTTTGGACTAAAAATCAAGTCGGTTCGGATTTGGAATGGATTGTTAAAATCTTTATGAATGCTAACCAGAAAGTTGACATGATTTAAAAGTTGAACAAGCATGTCAATCCTGTTAATAACTATGTTGATTCGTTTTAAAGTTAAGCACATTTTTCTAGATGAGTGAACTGGGCAAAAACACTCACAAACTGAATAAAAGTCTGAAGGATTTTAAAGTCATAATTTTGAGTCATTATAAAAAAAAGATGTGGTATGATTGCCAATGAGACAAATCTCCACAATAGAACAATTCATGAAAGAAATTGAACATTAATACAATGAAATATGTAGACAGCTTTCTCACAAGCCAAAAAAAACCCTAACTGTTAATATATAAAAGCATACACTATTAGTCTATTTACAAATCAATAAGCTTTAGAAACATGTGTTTAATCTTAACTCAAATATTTTTGTTTATTCATGAAATCTAAACTTTTCAATTATGTGTACCCCGCATGAATACATGACTGTAAAATCGACAATGTGCTAACCAAGGTAACAAAGGTAGTTTAGGCGACGTGCTTTCTGTGGCAAAAATCAAGGATATAATTCTAAGGTACCAATCACATTATAATTTTTGTTACTATGCAAATCATTATAAAGAATATTTTGGCAATAATGTATTTATTCCGGAACTTTTAGCGATTGTCCCAAAGCTTCCGACAATCCATGAAGTAAAAACAAAATATGAATATTTAACTGTTAATATTTGAAAAGAGAATATAATTTGAAATATTAATGTTATGCTTTGAATTCTATTCCGGCAATTTGACCTTGTCCTATGTTTGTCTCGGTTTCACAAAATGTTGAATTCTCAAATGTTACAATAATATCATCTATTTTGCATTCTGGCTTGCATTGTGTCCCATAATATGTTTTACACTTTATACTGTCTACCATTAGAGTGAAGCCTTTATTCGCATTTATTGTTATAGGTTCTGATAAAAAGATAGTATGCGTTTGATATCTCTGAGGGCAGGTTTCATATTTTTTGTTATGTATTTCGTTTCCATCATTATTTAGAATTTTTACAATAATCCCACTCGTAGAGGAATGTATTTGGTCCGATGGACCGTATAAGATAACAGCTTTCAACTCGATATTTTTATTCACTGTTATCTTCAAAGCGTCATATTTAATACCATTATATGGAGACCATCCACATTGAATAGAACTATGACGTAAAACCTTGTAATCTTTTCCGTAAAATTGTTTTCGAACGAACTTTGCAAAAAAATCATTCTCCCGTCCATAGTGAGAATAAAACACACTTACTATCTCTTCCAAAGTTAGCAAGCCAGAATGAGCTATCTCGTTTGCAAAATATTTTTTATCAACAAGAGGAAAGTTGACCAGATACAACAAGGAACCAGCTCTTTCTCGCATGTTTTCACCAGACCTTTTTTTCCTCTCTGCCTCACATTGATAACCTGCCCACTTTATAAAAAATCGGCAAAGATCAGTTTCGGAACAAGATATGGAATCCAATCTCATAATAGATTCCATGCATGTTTTGGACATTTTCATTGCATTTGGAGATAAAAAGCATTGAACTGCGTTTTTCTGAATATACTGAAGGCTCTTTTGTATGAGAATCTCGAGGTGAAAATGGGTCGCAACGTTTAAGACCACTGGAGCATTTGATGTTTCAACAGAGGATGAAAGCATACTTGAACATTCATTTTTCAATGTTGATAACATATACTTTTCGGCAACATAAAGTACTTCGAAAATATTTTCAAGAGACAGATCAAGTACATCTGAATAAATATATCTGAAAGAAATAAAAGTTTTTGTTTAAATGTGCACAACATGACATTATTAACACTTTAAAATACGTATTGAAATGTTAAACATGTAATTCTGTGTTTAAATTTATTGGAAATCTGAAACTCATCATGCTGATATATTAAACAATTGCTTTAAATGAAATGTGAAACCAAAGTAAATATACCATGTATATAATTTATGGAAAGTCGGACGCGGCCTCGTCTACATAAGACAATCATCAATGGCGCTCATCTCAAAAACTTAACAGGCCAATATTAATAACAAAACTGAAGAGTATTGAAAACTAAAATATAAATCAAAGATTCCACTTAAAGAAGACCTTATGGGGGTCCTCTAGAGTTTGAAAAAAATTGTATATTCTTAAAGAGAGAGGTTTTCTAGAATGCATCGAAGATTCATAGTGCTATCTGCATAAGACTGAAAAAAGTATTTCTTACTTTAACAAAATTTTAAATGTAGCTGAATTAACATCTGGTACTATGACTTCCCCCTTTTCAGGACAAGAACCTTCAAACATAGTATAGAAAACTGGACTCCGACTAGCCAAAATGTACTTGTGCGCTTTGATAATACTTTGATCTGTTCCAACACGGAAAGTGACGTCACACATCATTTCCTTCTCTAACATATATATCATGCATTCTGAGAGTGATTTGCCATCCTGCCAGTCTACTGTATCCCCAGGTTTGGCCATCTAGAAAAAAAGTTACCGGTACCAGTATAACAAATGCATGTACAAATAACTGTATTAGATAAAAATGAACGATTGATCATCGTCTGGCACAAGACATTACAAAAGTAGTGCTAACTTTTAATCTTTTTTTCAAATTATGCTACAGTTATAGATAATGAATAGGGTAATACAATTTGGACATTTTATTGCTGAAAAACAGTTGTGATGTCAATATGATGACATAAACATTTTGATTTCGTCATTTGGACCAAAAAAACAGCCATTTCACACTTTGTATTTAGCAAAATGGAAAAAATGTTTTTTAATGTCAAATATAAAGGAAAACGGAAAAATTGAAAATGTTACATAAAGACTTTTTACTTTTGATAACATGAATCAACTGAAATTAGATACTTAACACAATATCTCATAGTCAAAGTAAAACATCTATCTGACATGTAAATATAACAGTCATTGAAACTGAGATTAGAACAATAATTTACTCATATTCGACCGTGCACAGGCAAATCTTGTTAAAGCGAATTTTACATGAACCTGATTTCATGTGGATTTGACGTATTAGGTCGATTCCCATGAAATTTTCATGTAGAATTAACTCGAATTTATCGTAAGCCAAAATGGCCTGTGAAGTCGAACATTTTTTCTCTTGATTCAATATCTTGTCACAAAAATGAAATAAAGTGTTTAATGGAAATAAGATATTTAATCATGTTAAAATATAAAAAATATATTTAAATATGTTTATAAAAAAGAAATTATAAGAATATTTAAGTAATATAATTGTTAATTTGATGCATTTAATTGTTGGAACTCATGCGACAGTGATAAAAAAGCAACTGGAGACCTTATATTTTGAACTAAACTACATTTTACCGAAACTCCAAAAAAAAATAGTTAAAGACTTCCTATATGAATAATTCCAAATCTACAAATCTACATATTTTCGTCATGGACATTTATAATGATAATATTAGAGCATGACCTCAAACGAGTAACCAAACAAAATCGTTATGAGATAAGAATCATGAACAAATCAAATTGATATATTGATGTTATGGAAAAAGAAAATGAATGTAAATTCCTTCTGAAATACTTTTTACAATGTTCCAAAATTTCTAGAAATCAGGATTCTACTTCGACAATATTGTCTCCCAATTACGCCACAATTTTTTGAATCGAAAAATGGAAGCCAGTTTAGGGGTGACACGCTGTCAATTTATCTCTTGAAAACTGATAAATTTATCCACATAGCATCATGACCATTATTACATGACAGTTGTATTATAAAAACAAATGTATGTACTAGCAATTAAGCATCATGTAATGTACTTTTGCGTCATTTGTCAACTTGAAAGATTGTCTGATCGGTTGTCAGGGTGAATTTCAGAGTTCAAAAACATTTAAAAAAAATATCCAATTACATTTTTCATGGAAGGGAGAGTAAAAATTTTCTGAGGTTTGAGACAAATTACTCTAGATAATACACACGCATTTAAAAGACCAATTTGTAAAGTCGTCAACGGCTTTCTGTTATTTTATATTAAGAATTTGTTTTTCAAACACACCTACTATGTTGTTATGATTCATTAGAAAGGTATTTCGCTTGAACCATATATTTTTTTTTTGGAACCGTAAAATTTTAATGTAGTTATATCAAAATAAAGCCTAAATATATCAAAAACAATATCATCTGAAGCAAGACGGTGTATCAAATGATGTTGCTTTATACGTTTTCAAGACAAAAACAGCCAACTCAAACACGCCTTAACATAAAAAGGTGTACCTGACTTTCTATTTTCGATGAGATTATTGCCTATTTCAAAAAAACAACAACAAAAAACTGTTGCCGGGGGCAGAGATGCAAATTAATGCTTTAACAAGGTTAATCTTTTATCTTTCTGTGGATTTGTTTTTTCGACGGAATTCTCAATAAAAAAGATCCATAGTATTTGCACCTACCAGAATCGACAATTAAGTGAAAATGTTTACAAATATCTCAAGCTCCGTACTTTAAATTAAGTATAAACACGTATATTTGATGTAAACAATAATAAATTAAGCACCTACATTAATCTTTCAAAGTCCATTGAAACAGATGTAAACAATTCAAATATTCTAACTTGTACAAAATAAGGAGATGTGGTATGATTACCGATAAGACAATTGGTAAGTTTTACCTTCTCTAATAAAGACCGAGTTCCTTGTATTGGAAATCTGCCCTAATAAAAGTTGGAACCTGTGATGCAAATGTGTTCATATGCTTAACATGTGTATTTGTATAACCTTTAAGTTTAACTCTTTTCTATGACGACAAAAACAATAACAATCACCATAAAAATGAAAACACGATCACATAAATTGCGACAAAGAAATGTCAACAAATCGAAAACGAAAGTAGATAAGTCATTTGATACCGATAGAGTTATTTATAGCACAATGGAATACAAATAAACTTGTGAAACAACATATATGGTTATACAGTATAAAATCAGAGTATACCTGAGAATTATTGACACAATATATGATCATAAAATACTATAGACTCTACAATTTCTACAGTACCTCTTTTTTCAAATTTTGAATGACCGATGATTGCATTCACATATATTCGAACATTTGTCATTTTTACGCTTCATGATTTACGTTTATGTCCTTAGGTAAAATGATAAAGAAAGTAACCTTATATAATTTTATAATCCCTTGTTCTATGAACGGTGAATACAGTCTAACTAGTATTTCTTTTCACACCAGGAAGGTAAACTGATAAAAAGCCCAGTTGTCTCCCTTGTAAGGAAATCCGGGTCCGTTCCCCTTTACTCAAGTTCGTCCTGTAATGAAGACCGTATATTTGGTAACAATGTTACCTCTTTTATAACTATTGTAAAAAAACACATTAGCATCACTGTATATAGATAACTGATTTATCAAGAAGAGATGACAATTTTTGTTTTTTCTCGTCTTGTACATGTTGTATCGATCTGACCGATTTTCCCACAGAGAAGATGACTCTGTTTTACATAATTTATTATGCATCTATAAAAATATATAGCATTCTTCTGCTTTGCATTTTATGGATCTAGGCAAAACTTAAAATGACAAATTGAATCTTGTTATTTTAATGTAAATGTTTACTTGCTTTACATGTTGATGATTTTATCTTTACGGAATTATTGATATATACCAAATCATTATTACTCATAAACTATTGAAAATTTAGAGTTCAACATAGCCAAATATGAAGGATCATAGATTCAGGTTTTTGGTTCGAACTCATTATGCAGACAGGGGTAAGATAAAAAACGTTGAAACATTTACAATGTAAACCCGGACAAAAATACTGCTTGATCCGGAAAGGTGATTTCTTCATTTTGATTCTTAACTTTAGCATCTAAATGATGCGCATAAAAATATGACAACAATATCTACAGCCATCAAAGATATAAAACAAAATTATAAGAGTCAAAATGAGAAATATGAGTATAAAATATAAAAATAAGAAGATGTGGTATGATTGCCAATGAGACCACTCTCCACAAGAGACCAAATGACGCAGAAATTAACAACTATAGGTCACCGTACGGCCTTCAACAATGAGCAAAGACCATACAGCATAGCTATAAAAGGCCTCGAAATGACAAATGTTAAAAAGACTGTATTATTGTTTGGTATAATTTTGATTTTTGGTCTGTAAATTTAACATAACTATCCTTTTTATTTAATTTAAGTTTTGACCATAATAAAAAGGGAAATGACACAAAGTTATTATTCAAAGTAAAGTGATAATCAATTTGCTGTAGCTTTGTACTTATTCGCCTCGTACAGTAAAACGAACGTTATCTAATCAAGGTTTCTTCTACCATAATGAAGAAATCTGAGTAGCCAATCACAGGCGGCGAACCGAGAGGTAAGTAAGGACAACAGTAGTATACCGCTGTTCAAAAGTCATAAATCGATTGAGAGAAAACAAATCCGGGTTAAAAACTAAAACCGAGGGAAACACATCAACTATAAGAGAAAAACAACAGAACGAAACAAAGTGCAACAAAAAGAAACGCCAACGTACATAGAAATGGACTATTCGATAACAGCTGCCATATTCCTGACTTGGTACAGGACATTTTAAGAAAATATGGTGGGTTTAACCTGGTTTTATGGCTAGCTAAGCCTCCCGCTTATATGGGGACTGTCCAATGCTCTCAACAGTTACAAGGTAAACTGTGTATGCCTTCCATAACTTTCATCTCAATTAAAACATAATTGTTCAAAATACGCGGAATACTGTGTATATGCCTTATAAAATAATATATATACAATAAACTCATCAAAGATACTAGGATTAAAATTGTGTACGTTAGACGCGCGTTTCGTTTACACAAGACTTACCATTGACGCTCGAATAAAAACAATTTTAAAAGGCAAAAAGAAGTAGAAAGTTGAAGAGCACTGAGGACCTAAAATTCCTAAAACACACATAGCAGGAACGGAGATAAAATTGAATATCTTATAAACACCAAAAACATCAAACATTTTTGTTACTTTATGTATTTGACACCTACTTAAAAAGTTGTTATACAACTATGGGACAACGCTTAACACATTTGCATCATGAAACGCAGGATATTTACTGGTTACTAATTAGCTCATATGATATCAACATGACCAAATTATTATTTGGTGTCATGGTACTGTTTGGTGTAATAGAAATGAAATGATATGCGGTATCCATCCATGACAAAAAAAAAATAGTACATGTACATGAAGCCTTCAACGCGGAACAAAGACTCTCACTGCAAGTTTAAGACGCCCGTTTGCAACGATCTGAGCGGAATTGTTAGCAAATTGCTGATCACGACATACTGCTACAATCTAACATGCTGTATACAACTCGAAACTTGTTTGGTTTTTAAAGGATATAACAACTTTTAAAAATTCATCTTCTAAGCACGATTGATTTAGGTGTTCAATTCAAGCCAGGCCACTAGTCTATTAAGTTGCAGTAGAATAA